GTGGATCACAGCTTGAGCTGATTTCCCTGTTCCTTATAGAAATAGAAACAAAGGTGTGAAGGACTTTAAAGGTGCTTAAATACCCTCAGGATGAAAACAACTTTGACACACTGTATATAATTAAATATAAGTTTTATTACACGTAATAAAATGAAAACATACACACCCTCCCATAAAATCAGGTAAGAGAATGAGCCCTTCAGTACAGTGAATCCCATATCACACTATATTAACAATATCAGACCATGACTTAAAGGTCACCAGTGTAACAAGCAGGGATAGGGATGTGATGGAGATTCCCAATGCGTTTTGCCAAATTGGCTTCTTCAGGGTCCAAAGGAAGGGAATACAATACCGACGATTGCTCAGACCAAAAAGCTCGACCCCAAGAGAGAGAGGCAGGTGCAGTGGGACAGGGTATAGCTGGGACCCCCCGGGGCCAGGACACACAAAGGGATATGTACACCACACTGCCTAAGGAAAGAGAGATTCCTATTTCATAGCTATCATCCTCCAAGTCATAGAGACAATAAGCCCACAAAGAATTGGCAGAATAGTATATAACTTGATGGATGTCAAATAGATGTTCCAAAATATTGGTCCACCTTTCATGTGGAGACAAGAAGCCAAATCAAGTAGGTAATGTTGCTCTCTGTCATTTCCTAAAAACACCTCTCTCCCAAAGATAAGCATCACAGTTGACACTAGGGTAAACGTCCAATCGCAATATCCTTTATTGAAATGACATGAAACAGCTGTAAAACAGTCAGCCTGTTCAGCTGTCAGGTCTTAGTTATGACTTTTCTGGATCACAGCATGAGCTGATTTCCCTGTTCCTTGCAGCTGATAGCTTTTTTCTAAACATTGCAATCTATTGATGGGAGTTGGAGGGGGGGGGGGGGGTCCTTTTATTAAATGTGTTTTTTCAAGATTTAGGTAAGTAACAGGGGGATTTTACCTAAGAATGTTTTTTTTAACTACTTCAGAGATTAGTTTGGGGGGCTAGTAGGCCTATATATTTTCTTGTAAGCAGTGCATATACCTAAAAAAAACAGAAAAAAACAAATTTACACCCTTATTACTGATATGTATTATTATATTGATTCATAATTAAATTACAAAGTGTTACATTTTACTAATTATATGTACTCTTGTAAAACACATTTGAGTGAAAAGAAAGTGAATGCAATATGTTTGTTTGATTGGTGAGATTGGTTCATGCTTTTGAAAGGTTTTGTTGCATGCGTCATGCAAACAATACAAAATTGTATGTTTTTGTAAGGTACAAAATTAGTCAAGGTAATGAGCTGAGAACATAGGCACTATTATTGTTTGTAAATGAAAGTGAATTTGAAATTTGATATCATGAGATGACAATGATGAAGGCATGATATTGTTAGTGATAGGTGCTGTATTTTATCTTCTACAGAGATGTTTTAAAAATATTAATTTCATAAAGACTAGAGAATAGAAGACCACGCATCAAGTAATATTATTCATTGAATTTTGAACATACATTTTTTAATGAAATAAGTTTGCAAACATACTCATCACTGGGGACATTGCAGGTCACCCAGTTTCAGGAATGCTTAATATACCCAGATTGTTATGACCTCTACTATTACTGAGGTTTTTTCCATATTACTGAGGACATCAGACAACAATTTCTTATTGTTGCTTAAACTGTAAGGTAGGGCAATGTCAGAAAAAAACATATTTAGTACACCAGTCCAATACATGAAAATACCTAAAAATGTTCCTGTTTTATTCCTTTTGAAATGCTGCAAGCACAAAAAAATGCTTGTTGACCTATCAAAAATCCCGTGAGCTTCTAACATTCTGTTTGCTGACAACATGGCCCCATTGAGACTCCAAGCAGAGTTGTCAGCCTTAACTACACCTATCCCCATCTAAGGCTTACTACAAGTGCATGTGTTGATTTTTTTTTCTAACAAAACAATGCTGCTACACAGTGTGTAGAAAAAGGGGGGAAATGCATGTTTACGTAAATAGAAACTGAGCTCCTAGCAGCTTCTTCTACAAGAATTTTACCAGCATTGTGATGATGTCACAGGGTGTAATAAAATTTGCTTCTCATTAGAGCAACAAAGTAATACATAAATAAATAAAAAATGCTGGGACATGATTTTGCAAGACCTGCTGCTTTGTACCTAACCCTTCACATTTACCAGCATAGACTTGGGGCTTGCTATGGATGAATAATAGTAGATTCAGACTAGGGCCAATGTAGTCAGAAGCCAGTTAGCCTTCCATTATGTTTTTTTGGCTGTGAAAGGTAGTACCAGGAAAAACAAAAACAAAGTTGGCAAAAATATGTAACATAACAGATAATATCCCAAATGGGAATCAAAACAAGTACTGCTAATCACTTACCCACAGTGTTGCTTCAGACCTGTTAAATGAGCATAAAAAGGTAGGTAACACTAGCAGTAGCAAATCAGACAAACAGCGTACACAACAGGAAATGGAGGGAGGATAAAGGTTTAGGCAAGTCCTCCTGTAACACCAAGTTTTCTAGAGGGTCAGTCTGGATGGCAGGGGGAGAAGGAAACTGGGTGGCGATTTAATAGGGGGGGAGGGGGTAGAGAAGAAAGGTAGGTAACACTAGCAGTAGCAAATCAGACAAACAGTGTACACAACAGAGAATGGAGGGAGGATAAAGGTTTTGGCAAGCCCTCCTGTAACAACAAGTTTTTTAGAGGGTCAGTCTAGATGGCAGGGGGAGAAGGAAACTGGGTGGCCACAGCATGTCGCAATTAGAAAAATCGAAAAAACATCTGGTTGTTTGAAAGGTATTTCATCAAGTCGTTCTGCATCGTCACACCCAAGTATTTAAAATTGAAGACCGATTTAATAGGGGGGGGGGCAGGGGGTAGAAAAGAAAGGTAGGTAACACTAGCAGTAGCAAATCAGACAAACAGTGTAAACAACAGGGAATGGAGGGAGGATAAAGGTTTAGGCAAGTCCTCCTGTAACAACAAGTTTTCTAGAGGGTCAGTCTGGATGGCAGGGGGAGAAGGAAACTGGGTGGCCACAGCATGTCGCAATTAGAAAAATGGAAAAAAACAGCTGGTTGAGTTCATGAAAGGAGAGCAGGACACCACAAGGCATAATATGGTTCAATGTTTTGATGCCATACCGAGCCCACACCTGCCTCCACCTCCTCAGGGTCATCAGCACGGGAAAAGTGATGGCCGAGTTGGACTTCGGACCTCTATAAACTAGGTTGCCAACTTCAGCAGAAGAGCCCAATATTGCCGCCTCCAGGATCATCGCTGCATTATCCCTAGGCCGGGAGAGCCACCAGCGCACCATGACCAAAACAGCCACCCAATAGTATAAAAGCAGGTTAGGAAGTGCCAGGCCACCATGATTAATGGGTAAGTGCAAGGTAGGTCGGGCAAGTCTAGGGGTCCTCTCAGCCCAGAGAAACACAGAGAAAATACCATCCACATGACGGAAAAAGGACTGTGGGATTTGTACCGGTGTATGCCGAAAATAGTAGATACATTTAGGTAAAAATATCATTTTAAATAGATTTACTTGTTCTATGGTGATAATAGGAAAGAAAACCAGTCATTATAATTAGTCTGTAAATGTTGTAGGAGAGGATGAAGATTGTCTGAAAGGTATTTCATCAAGTCGCGCTGCATCGTCACACCCAAGTATTTAAATTTGAAGACCGATTTAATAGGGGCAAAAGAGATGTCAGGCAAGGGGCCCGGAGCAAGAGGAAATAATATTGATTTCTCCTCATTTATGCAGATCCTGGAGTAGCTACCGAAGTGTTTGATATGGTCCAGTGCCGTTCTAAGGGACGATTTGCAGTCCTTGAGATATAGGAGAGTGTCGTCCACATACAGGGAAACTCTATCCTCCCAGTCGACCACTGGTAGCCCATGTAAGGTCCTGGAGGAGCGAATCAGCTAAGCCAAAGACTCGATCACCAGGGCGAACAGACCCGACAAAAGCGGGCAACCCTGCCGAGTGCCCCGATGGAGAGAAAAAGGGGAAGAGAGAATATTATTAGTACGTACTCTTGCAAATGGCCCACTATACAGGCATCTAATCCAGGAAATTAAATTGGGGTCAAATCCAAAACATCTCAGAGTCTCCCATAGATATTTCCACTCGACTGAATCGAAGGCCTTTTCGGCATCCAGGGACAGCACCACACCCGGGTCGTCGCTATCTCGAGTCGAGAAATGTGAGTGAACAGTCTCCTATGTTGATGTCAGTGCCCTTACCTGGCATAAAGCCCGTTTATCATGGTGTACCAATGTAGATATAACCAAGCTCAATCTCCCAGCAAGCAATTTAGTGAGTATTTTCGCATCAGTGTTCAACAGGGAGATCGGCTGATAAGAGGAGCAGTGGGGCAGGTCCTTCCCAGGCTTCAAGATCACTACTATCACAGCCTGGAGCTTAGAAGGGGGCAAGTTTCCTTTCTCAAGTAATACATTAAGAAGCCAGATTGGGGAGCGCCAAACGCCTGCTGGATCTCCTCCAAGGAATCAAAGCCTCCAATTGTTCCTGCTGGGCTGGGGAGAAAGACAGCAGTTGAACACAATACAGATAGTGGGATAAGTCCTGAGGCGTGTAAGTAGCCTTGGAGGAGTAAAATTTTGCATATTAGTCGGCAAGTTGATGTTGATTAAGACTGGATGAAGGATCCTAGAACCGTCCTCAGCCTGTATAAGGGTGATGTTAATCAAGACAGTTTGTTCCCTAGCCAATCAAGCCAAAAGGCTGCCCGCTTTATCCCCCTGCTCAAAGATACGCTGTTTTTGATGGAGCAGCACCTTCCTGCAGACCTCTGTGAGTAACAATAAAGCTTCCCTAACTGCCAGTTGTATGTTGTGGTGATTAACAGGATCCAGGTTGATCGCATAATTAGATTTGGCTTCTGCTACCCTCTGGTACACCCAATCCACATCCGCCTGTTGGCTAACCTGAAGCCCCCCAATTAGGATCCAATACTGTCCTCTAAGGCAGGCCTTGAAATTTCCACTCTCCTGCTCGCCAATGGCTAGTGGAAATTATGGTGGGTGTGAGTGTGTCCCCCAGGGCTGTCTTGCTGAGCAGGCTCGGAGCTCAGGCCTGATCTGTCATTGGCACTGGGAGCCGTCAGACTGCTCAATAGCTGAGCGCAGTGAAAGCAAAGGAAGGAGTGTGTGCTGTGTTCTCTGCCTCCACCTAGAGTGCAGTACCCGGCTCTGTGAGTGAACAACAAAGTACTGCAACTTTTTATAGGGCTGTGTATGTGTGTCTACCTAATTTCAGCTCATTCTTGTCACATGATCCTCTATGTCAGCCAGTGGTGGCTTCAGGGGAGAGGAGAGAGCACTTAACTGCGTGCGTGTGTGCCTGTGTGTACATGTGTGTCTGTGTATGCATGTACATGTGTCTGTGTGTATGTACATGGGTGTATCTGTACATGTGTCTGAGTGTATGTACATGTATGTGTGTGTATGTACGTGTGTGTGTATGTACGTACATGTGCCTGTGTGTACATGTGTCTGTGTATGTATGTACATGTGTCTGTGTATGTATGTACATATGTCTGTGTGTATGTACATGTGTCTGTGCGTGTGTATTTCTGTGTATGTACATGTATCTGTGTGTATGCGTGTCTGTACGTGCCCGTGTGTGTATACATGTGTCTATGTGTGTGTGTGTGTACATGTGTCTCTGTGCATGTGTGTACATGTTTCTGTGCGTGTATGTGTGTGTGTATGTACATGTCTGTGTGTGTGTACAGATGTCTCTCTTTGTGTGTGTTTGTTGGTGGTGCGTAACTCTTAAGGCCTGGCTAGTAGCTCAGGACTTTTAAGAAATTTTAAGCCCTGCTCTAAGGGTAGCCTTACAAGCCACCCAAGTAGTAGTAGGTGCAGCAGCATCCTCGTTAGATTCCCAGTATTTCTCCAGTGCTTTCCTTATAGGGGGTTCTACCTCAGGGCCAGTATGCCAATACTGAGATAACCTCCATATCCTTTCCCCCGGGGCATCAGAAATACTCAGGCTAAGAAGGAGTGGAGCGTGATCAGAAATTCCTTTTGGAAGGATGGAGATCTCCCAAAACCTTGCTAAGAGTGCAGGTCTAGCATAACAAAAATCAATTCTAGACATTGTTCTGTGTGATGCCAAGTGGCAGGTATAGGCCTTGGTCCCAGGATTTTTCCACCTCCACACATCTGTGAACCGATAAAACCACGCCCACTTGGCAAACTCCTACTCCTCTCTGGCTTCAGGATATAATTTGGCAACACTAGGGTCTGGAGTAAGGTTAAAATCACCAGCAAGCAGAATATGGGATGGGGGATATGAGTCCAGGAGCTGGGCCACAGCAGCCAACAAGTGCGTGGAAGTAGGAGGCCAGAAGATAAAGGTCAACAATTACCATTTCAAAGCAGTTGATCATCGCATGAATCATAACATATTTGCCCTCGGGATCCAGCCTGAGATGGAGAAGAGTGAATGGCAAGGATTTGTGCATAAGGACACTAACTCCTCGGACATAGGAAGAGTACGTGGCATTGTAATAGTGACCGACCCAAGCCCTCTTTAGCTATAAATGAAGTACGGGAACACAGATTTGCAACCACCCAAGCTGATTCCCAAGAAGAAAACATAGAACTGTAAAATATGCAGCAGAAGAACCAGCATAACATCTTGACACCATACAAAGACTGGATCAAAAGGGATATCAAATGTACCTTGCAACAGAGAAGACCAACTAAAAACTCCCAAAAAACATATATGCTATAGGGTGCAAACTTAAGCAAAACCTTAAGAAACAGATGATCGGGGAGTCCCAATTCAAAATAGGAACGTAGACAGAGGTAACAGAGCAATGACTCTTCCAAAGATGCGTTAAGATCAGCGCTTCCCAACCAGGAAGTTGTCTCCTCAGGCATGGTGAAGAAGCGTGTGGTTTCACCATCTTGTACTCTAAGCTTCGCAGGAAAAAGCTTGCCATAGGTAAGGCCTTTTGCACGCAATTGGGCCTTGACAGTGTTGAAGTATCTCCGCTGGTCCTTGGGGCTGGAATGAGGGACAAATGGCCGGATAAATCTTCCCCCAGGCAGTAGCTTACCACACCAGCTCCAGACAGCAGGGCAATGGCACCCAGGATGAACCACAGGTCAGGTCCTATGTGCGTGTAGGCCGCAGCAGGCCTCGATAGGCTGCGGATGTCCAGCACTCTGGAGGGGGGGTCAGACCGACCCAATTCCCCTCTTCAGGCAGCAGGCTAAGCCAGTGGGGGGGCTCCGTTGTCGGTAGGTGACAGCTATCTCCGGGATGGGATCTCCGAAGCGGCAGAGCTCTCGTTTATGCGGCTACTCTGGTCTCTATCTTGGACATGCTCAGGGTGGGTTTTAGGGTCATGTAACCTCCATGATTGGCTGTCACAACAGTCACATGATCAGAAAGCTCCCTACCGCAAGTAGTGATCGGGACCTTTCTATAAGGCGCTGGTAAACATGCCGGGAGAACACAGAGTGCACGCTTTTGACACATCATTTATTTACATTGGGTACACAAATATGTGGCCCCTCGGTGCCAAGACCCAGTCACAGAGAGGTTGCATATTTGCGTGTGCTCAGCGCCAACAGGTTAATTTCTACCAGGTGGACAGAGCAATGTATTAACATCATAACAGTGGGCAATATGCCTTCTATTTTAATTGTAGACAATATACTTTCCATTTGGCCTCCTGAAGAAGCAGAACTCAATTCAGGGAAATGAGTTGAGAATTGGACTAGTCCCACTCCAGCCAACGTATGTTAGATAATACGTTACATCTGTGATATTATATGTGTTAAGCATCATAGTATCACAACCAATACATATAGATTATTTCATACAAGCTGGGAGTGCAGCATCACCCTTCTGGATGAGGCCAATATGTCTGCAAAGTTTATGAATTTCTCTTTCAATTTTATTACCAAAAATTTTTTATTAAGTGTATATCAATAGAAATTTTTTTTATATATAGAGTGTATTGGTGCTTTGAAAGTCTACCTGGTACATAAGACACTTTTAGGTTTTTTATATAATGATAATTATTATATAATACTTATAACAGGATGGGTAATTGATTGAATGATCATACAGAGGGTCACTGTAACCTGCAGTTTACTGAACAGGTACAGAGTTATAATCGATATTGCAACACAGGTCAAAATGGCAAAGAGCATGCATAGACTGAGAATAATACAAAACAGATTATGAAAGCTGCACAAATATTAAAGTGTTACTAAACCCACAAAAATAAAATCAGCCTGTATATGCAGGGGCGTATCTGCCATGAGGCAAACAAGGTGTTTTACACGGGGGCGTCACGCCCCCCCCCACAGGCAGAAGAGACTCTGTGTGTGCAGGGCCGCCATGGATGAGGGTACAGCCAAGACAAGCCAACATACAAGGAGGGTCACCCGGGCCAAGGGACCGGCTGCAGAAGAGAGCTCTTCTCCTGTCCCACTGCCTCTCACCTGTCCCTCTGAAATCCTCCTGTCCCGCTGCCCCTATTCTGTCCCATGCCCCCCTTCATGCTGCCCCCTACCTATCCCTCTGTGCTCCTCCTGTTCCACTGCCCCTCACCTGTCCCTCTGCTCTCCTCCTGTCCCGCTGCCCCTATCCTGTCCCATGCCCCCCGTCGTGCTGCCCCCCACCTGTCCTTCTGCGCTCCTCCTGTCCCACAGCCCACCTGTCCCTCTGCGCTCCTCCTGTCCCACTGCCCTTATGCTGTCCCATGCCCCCATCACGCTAACCCCCATTTTTCCCTCTGTACTCCTCCTGTCCCTCTGTGCTCCACCTGTCCCGCTGCCCCTATCCTATGCCCCCCGTCATGCTGCCCCCCACCTGTCACTCTGCGCTCCTCCTGTCCTGCTACCCCGATCCTGTCCCATGCCCCCATCATGCTGCCCCCCAGCTGTCCCTCTGCGCTCCTCCTGTCCCTCTGCTCCTCACCTGTCCCTCTGCGCTCCTCCTGTCCCACTACCCCTCACCTGTTCCTCTGCGCTCCTTCTGTCCTGCTGCTCCAATCCTGTCCCATGCCCCGTCATGCTGCCCCCCACCTGTCCTTCTGCACTCCTCCTGTCCCACTGTCCCTCACCTGTCCCTCTGCCCCCCACCTGTCCCTCAGCCTCCCCACCCATAACGCTGCCCCCATCATGCTGCCTTCCCCCTGTCAAGCTGCCTCCCTCTTGTCCTGCTATCCCCCCACCTGTCCCAATGGCCTACTCCTGTCCTGATATCCACCATCATGCTGCCTCCCTCCTATCCCACTTCCCCCTTCCTGTCCTGCGCCCCCCATCACGCTGCCTTCCTCCTGTCCCACAACACCCCTCCCCATGTCACACTGCCCTCCATCATGCTCCTGTCCTGAAGAGGTGGATCTTAAACAGCAAAGGGAAGGACATATTTAGATGGGGGTACCCGATTTTAATCTTGCCTAGGGCAGCACAAAACCAAAATACACCACTGTGTATATGCAGTAAAGCATGCTTGTTACACTCACTGTGAAACCTAAGGGGTTAATCCTCTGCATTGTGTAAGAAGATTGTTTGATCCTTTCCTCTCTGCAACCTCCTCTTATTGAAATGACCACCTGATACAGACAGAACCCATGGTCACATGCACATGCTCAGTTTGTTGTGTATTGCTAGAGAGGTTTTTTTTTTTTTTCTTGAGAGGGTTCATGGGATCAGCACAGGGGCTGATCAACACTGTCCAGACAGGTGGTCAGAGGTTTCACACCCTCCTAGAGCAGAAAGAAAACTCATCCTACAAGCTTTAACCAGTGCTCTGCTGAAGTCACAAGACTGCTCTAACTGCTGATGAGAAAAGGTATTTAGCAGTTTATATTTACTAAAATAATTGCATTTCAATATTGTGTGTACTGTGGGAGACCAGATATAGTGAATGTAGGGTCCTGGGTTTAGTATCACTTTAACACTTCACAGCAATGTCTCTGTGGCTCAATCAAGGTAACATGTGGTGGCTGGATAGCATAATCTCTTAAATGCTCTAAAACTATGACAAGTGAGAAAGAATTAATACTCCAATAAAATAGTCCAGAACACAGCTACTTGCAACTGTCCTTATAAATAGCATCCTTATAGTGCAGTACAGGATGCTCTAATAACACAGGTACACATGGTCTAAGAGGGATCTAAGGTATAAGAACCACACAACTTTGTTACTCTGGTAGCAATCTGGGAGCTACTCCCCAAGTAGTTGGGTATTTTGTAGAAGATGCATACTATTAGGTTCTGGCCCAGCTGCCTCAATGAAGATCACTTGCCCAGCTACAGTTGCAAGAAAAAGTATGTGAACCCCTTGGGATTACGTGGAGTTTTGCATGAATTGGGCATAAAATGTGCTCTGAACGTCATCTAAGTCACAACAATAGAAGAACACAGTCTGCTGAACATAATACTACACAAACATTAGATGTTGCCATGGTTTAATTGCACATAACATGTAAACATTCACAGTGCAGGGAGGAAAACGTATGTGAACCTTTGGACTTAATAACTGGTTGACCCTCCTTTGGCAGCAATAACCTCAACCAAACATTTCCTGTAGTTGCAGATCAGACCTGCAGAACGATCTGGAGTAATTTTGGACCACTCCTCTTCACAAAACTGTTTCAGTGTAGCAATATTCTTGGGATGTCTGGTGTGAATCGCTCTCTTAAGGTCATGCCACAGCATTTCAATCGGGTTGAGGTCAGGACTCTGACTGGGCCACTCCAGAAGGCGTATTCTGTGCTGTTGCAGCCATTGTTTTGTTGAATTACTTGTATGCTTTGGGTCATTGTCCTGTTGCATCACCCATCCTCTGCGGAGCTTCAGTTGGCGGACAGATGGCCGTACGTTTTCCTGCAAAATGTCTTGATAAACTCTGGAATTCATTTTCCCATCAATGACAACAATCCGTCCAGGCCCTGAGGCAGCAAAGCAGCCCCAAACCATGATGCTCCCTCCGCCATGTTTTACAGTGGGGATGAGGTTCTGATGTTGGTGTGCTGTGCCTTTTTTTCTCCACACATAGTGTTGTGTGTTCTTCCCAAACAACTCAATCTTGGTTTCATCTGTCCACAGTATATTTTGCCAGTAGTGCTGTGGAACATCCAGGTGCTCTTTTGCAAACTTCAAACGTGCTGCAATATTCTTTTTGGACAGCAATGGCTTTCTCTGTGGTGTCCTGCCATGTACTCCATTCTTGTTTAATGTTTTCCTTATTGTAGATGTGTCAACAAAAATGTTAGCATGTGCCAGAGATTTCTGTAGGTCTTTAGCTGACACTCTGGGATTCTTCTTTACCTCATGCAGCAGTCTGCGCTTTGCTCTTGCAGTCATTTTTACAGGACAACAACGCCTAGGGAGAGTAGCAACAGGGCTAAACTTTCTCCATTTGTAGACAGTCTGTCTTACCGTGGACACATGCACATCAAGGCTTTTGGAGATACTTTTGTAAGCCTTTCCAGCTTCATTCAAGTCAACAATTCTTGATAGTAGGTCTTCTGAGAGCTCTTTTCTGCGAGGCATGGTTCACATCAGACAGTGCTTCTTGAAACCAGTAAACTCCAAATAGGTGTGTGTTTTTTAAGGGCAGGACAGCTGTCAGCAACACATCCAATATCATCACACTGATTGGAGTCAAGGTTGGCTCACTCCTGGCTCCAATTAGCTCTGGGAGAAGTCATTAAAACTAGGGCCTCACATACATTTTCCTCCCTGCACTGTGAATGTTTACATGTTATGTGCAATTAAACCATGGCAACATCTAATGTTTGTGTAGTATTATGTTCAGCAGACTGTGTTCTTCTATTGTTGTGACTTAGATGATGGTCAGAGCACATTTTATGCCCAATTCATGCCAAACTCCACGTAATCCCAAGGGGTTCGCATACTTTTTCTTGCAACTGTATCTGTGCCTCATCAGTTGTGGCCTGTCTGAGCTGCTGACAGAAGGAAGAAGATACAATTATCTTCCCTGGGTGTCTCTAGGAAATCAAGGAGTCTGGTGAGTAAATGGATATTCTGCTACACTATATCTACTGGAGCCTCCTTCTACCACTTCCCTGGGTCCCATAGCAGTTGAATTTTGTGGATCGTTTTTGAGGGGTGCTTTACATTAAGGGGGGCGATGATATCTGAATACGAGGAGGCTTCATATTAAGTGGGGCTATTGACACCTAAATGTGATATGGCATTTACATTAGGGGTGGGGGGGGGGGTTTGGTGGCTGAATATAAGAAGATGCACATAAGGGGACTGTAGGGATTACACACAAGGAAGCTGGTGGTGGCTTAAAATGTACAATGAAAGAAGATGCCTATTTAGGATTATGAGAGAAAACTGCACATGAGCAGGCTGAGGATGAGTTGCTCTGTCACATATTGGGCTGTTGTAAGGTGACATCATTTGATATAGCTATTTCTGCACACTGCTTTCGTAGAATTAAACAGTTTTGCTGGGTTACTGTATATAATATGCTGCTGCAGTATTATGTGTACTTTCTGGCTAACATGATGAGTTGTGTTAGTCCATGTTCTTGCTAGTGATTTGTTGTTTTGGTATGATATAATGATTGTTGTTGCAGAACACTGTAGTTAGCTATTACAGTGCGATACGAGGGGCGTTCAAGTCAAACCGGTCTTTTTGAGCTTATATAGTAAAAGAACAAATTTGAAGGAGTGGAAACTAAATTTATTTTTCAACATACTCCCCTGCTACATTTATACACATATCCCAGCATTTAACTAATGGCTTTAAATCTTCAGCATAGAATGATTTGTCAGTACACCTGAACCATCCTTGGACAGCTTGCTTCACTTAGTGATCAGTGCTGAAATGTTGACCGCCGATGAACTCTTTTAGGGGTCCAAACAGTTGGAAATCACTTGAAGTGAGGTCTGGACAACAGGACACCCTTAGTGATCAAACCAGGACATTTTTTACACTCCTTCAATGCAGTGAAGACTTCGACTCTTCTGTGCCGGACAAAAGCAGAAAGCTGTCTTGGTACCCAGAGTGCATTAACGTTTCAAAAATGCAAATGTTTGTGAATTATTGTGTTCACTGTTCCAACAGAAATATTTGTCTCTTTCATGACAGGTTATGCATCAGTTATCCAAGTTTAGGCATTCCACATGCTGAATGTTCACAGGAATTACTGCTTGGGCTGGGAACCACCACAGCTGAGATCGTTACTGATGGACGTACGGCCATCTTTGAAATGTTTACACCATTCAAATGTCTTACTGCGGCTGACCCTCTCATCACCGTACTGTGCTTGGAGTCTTCTGTAGATATCTGTGGGTTTTATACCCTCATTCACAAGAAACTTCTTCACCACACAGTATTCCATGCACACACTAACACTTTTGACTGCCATCTTGATTAATGGTCTCTGGATGGTCCGTGACATATGCACCACCTATCAGTAATAGGACACACTTTCCACTTACTACTGCGTGTAGTACTGCCAAGCTAGCATCCCTTTTTATAGCTGTAAAATTAAAAGTCCTGGATTTACTTGATTAGACACCCTTCACATGTATTTGCAACCATTTATTTCATTTGTTGTAATGGCATTAACACCAGGTGTCTTATGGCGTCCATTCAGTCATGCGCAGTGCGCCTGCCCGCAGGGCCGCTCTGCAGCACGATCTGTCACCGGCCGTGTGCCTCTGACACGGCCGATGACAGATCTGTGTACCGGCCCTGTTTCCAGTACCATGTGACCAATCACAGCAGGTCACATTACAGTTGTATGTAATGGATGGTTTCTTTTCATGCCATCCATAGTATACAAGTGTGAATGGTAGCAGGGATCACATGCACAAGCTGGGCCGATCACAGCCGAGCTGTGTCATGTGATTAGCCGTGGCCAAATCACAGCTAAGCACAAAAAACAAAACCCTGAATGAATCAATTTCATTCAGGTAAATGCTTGCTTATAGCATTATACTACTTTGGTCATAGTGAAATATGAAAAAAAAAAACCTTAAAATAGAAAAAAATGTAATAAAAAAATAAATAAATAAAAAATTATATATTTTTTTTTCAAACTGTCACCAGTCAGTGTTCCTGATCACCGCCATGCCAGTTATATGATGACGCTGTACTGCACTGGTGACAGTATGTAAAAAAAAAAATAGTGATAAATAATTTTTTTAAGTTTTTTAAGTTTTTTATTTTCTGAAAAAAATTATGACAAAAAAATTACAACTTCAAAAAACTTGTCATGCCTCTTTTGAAATACATCGGACTGTCTACTTTGCAAAAAGGGGTTATTTGGGGGATATCTGTACTGTTCTGACATTCTTGGACCTCAAGAAATTAGAATGGCTGTCAGTACTTCAGGATTGATCAATATTCAGATCTATACTATAGTTTGTGAACTCTATAACTTTCCTACAAACTAAATAATACATCCTAATTTGGGTTATTTTCACCAAAGACATGTAGCAGAATACATCTTGGCCTAAATTTATGAAGAACAATTATTTATTTGCAAACTTGTATAACAGAAACAAAGAAAAACGTTTTTTTTTTTTTTTTTTAATTTTGGTCTTTTTTTTGTTAATTTAGCAAAAAATAAAAACCCCGGCGGTGATTAAATACCACCAAAAGAAAGCTCTAGTTGTGTGAAGAAAATGATAAAATTTTAGCTTGGGTACAGAGTTGTATGACCACGCAATTGTCATTCAAAATGTGAGAGCGCTGAAACCTGAAAAATGGCCTGGGCAGGAAGGGGGTAAAAGTGCCCGGTATGGAAGCGGTTAAAAAGTATAACTACCTGCTCCAATTAGGTTTAAAATCACTAAGCAAGATCAGTCATTTTAGCTCCATTCATTAATTATGTCATAAAAACAATTTTCTAAAATGTTTAATTTACAAACATAATTACTGGCTCATTTTTTTAAACAACAAACATGACATACTTGGTACAGTTTTGCACAGATTAGCCCTGATCCTCCTTCTTGAGTCCCCCACTGGCATTCCTGGCTCTTGCTATGGGGGGGTACTTGTGCATGCTCACTCCCAAGTCCCTCTCTGTGTGTCTATTAGACACAAAGAGCATGGTTCAGCCCTGCTACTGCTCTCTCCTTACTGGCTTTGATTGACAGCAGTGGGAGCTAGGCTGCTATATCTCAGCCAATGTGGAAAAAGAGACCCGGGACAGCATGTATCCTTATTTTCCCTGGCAAAAAGGTGCAATTCATTATGCTATTAAACTATAAAATGTTCTGTTCTATTACAAACTTTATTTTTGGGCCATGTGACTGTTATTTCGAGCTCTCATTGGCTGGCCTTTGAAAATAACAGTTGTTACAGCAAATAACAATTCTTATAGTTTAGTGAGGAGCAAACATCATTTCTGTACAAGATCCCCTTGAAGACCTTGTCCACCATTGTGTGGAAGTGGCACTGCTTTGCCAGTTTAGTTCATTATGTCTTTGTGTAACTGCTGTGTTAATGAGCATTTTCCTAAATTTATGCATGCTTTAATAGTACATGAACAACAAAAGCTTCCAAAATGTAGATGCTTGCTGAGGCTGATGACAAGGCTTTTCAGTTCTAAGCTTCAGTGTTTTTTTTTATTTTTTTTTTTTGTTCTATTATGGCTTGTTCATTAAGTATATGCTGTCTCATTATGGTATTTTTGGGGGGGACTTTTGGCTTTATGACTTTTACTTATTTAAAGGAGGTGTATGTGTGTGTGTGTGTGTGTGTGTGTGTGTGTGTGTGTGTGTGTGTGTGTCTTTGTGTGTCTGTGTTTGGGGGATATTTATTTTATCTTGTTTTATTTTATATAGAGATATTTGTTTTTTTCCCTTTTTGTGTATTAGATCATTATTTGTATAATCGCCAAGTTTTTCTTTTTAGAGTATGTTTTTGTTTCCTAAGGCTGTTTTAGCACAAGAATGGGTCCAGGATAGTTTGATAGGGATTCTGTAACTCTCAGGAGCTATTTAAAGCCCGTTGCAAAACAACCAAAAAACATCTTCATTTCACCTCCTTATTGACTTCAAAGGACTTAAAGTGTTACTGAACCCAGGACCCTTCATTCACTATATCTGGTCTCCCACAGTACACAGAACATGGAAATGCAATTATTTTAGTAAATATAAACTACTAAATACCTTTTCTGATCAGCAGTTAGAGCAGTCTGGTGACTTCAGCAGAGCACTGGTTAAAGCTTGTAGGAGGATTTTTCCTTTCTGCTCTAAGAGGATGTAAAACCTCTGACCCTCTGCTGGACAGTGCTGATTGGCCCTGTGTTGATCACATGCACCCTCCCAAGAAAAAAAAAACCTCTCTAGCAATACACACCAAATTGAGCACGTGCATGTGACCACGGGTTCAGTCTATATCAGATGGTCATTTCAACAAGAGGAGGGGCAGAGAAGAAAGGGTCAAATAGCCTTTTTACACAATGCAGAGGATTAACCTCTTAGGTTCCACAGTGAGTATACCAAGCATGCTTTATTGCATATACAGACTGAGTTTACTGTTGTGGGTTTTGTAACACTTTAACAAAATTGGATAACTTGCTAAACTCTAATTTTTTTTTTAAATTGCAGGAAAATTACAACTTTCAATTGCACTCCATATTAAATTAGTCTAAAAATGAATTAGGTCCCCTTTGCTAAATCAAAATGTGCATTTTTGTAAGATGTCTACTACTGTACAGGGTGTCTAGCAAGAGAGGGGAAATCTTCCAATCTTGCCACAGTGATAAATGTATAAAAGGGGATTTTTCCCCAATTTTAATACATTTCTCATTACTGCCCATCAAGCCTACAGAAAGGAAGGTGAATGGAAATCTCCCTATTGAGACTCAGATTGTGTTGACTTTATATTTAATACAAAGCCCAAATACAGACATTTTTTTTCTTAAAAAAAAATGGGTCACCAGTCAGGGTAACAAATGTAAAATAAATCTGCTGAGCCTGTAAAATTCACCTTCAATCTAGAGGTATCCTCCACAATAATTTTTTGCACCACAAGTCTTTCAGGCTTAATGATGCCCAGTGTCATTCGTTCCAAAAAACTAGGGAAAGCCTAAATGTGTGCCACCACAATTCATTGAGTATTGAAGCAAATAGCTGCACTTACTTCATTATATCAGCACCAATCTATGCATTAGCAAAGAAATGCTTTGGATCAGAGAAGAGGCAAAGAAGAAATAGACTAATCATGACACAAAGACCAACCAGAAGACATCTTAAATAGGTAAGTATACAGAAAAATAAAGCAAAATCTCCAGGGGAAGGAGGCGGTTGAGAGGCAGGGGACTGAGCCCAGAGTTGGGCTTTAATTTATTTAATTATAGAAAGTGGAATAAAACTGATAATGTCAGTGAGTTTGTATACTGTAAAAGAGGGAAGATTTTAAATCAGGACTACATACTAAGTGCCATTGTTATTACAATATGGATGATGCTGACAGACAGATAAGCAGACTAACTTTTTGCACGAAAAATGCATATAGGTTGGCTATTGTTCCTCCTCATTATAATTTATCTTGTAGACTGCATATGTTTCTATGCTTTTTCCTGACACTCACTCAGTACAAACTGTCCTCATGAGAGACTAAGCATCAAAGCTTACAAAATATATTAACTGCATATTTGCTTATGAGCCAGATAAAAAAAATACAAAGAGCCTCCAGGTTTTCAAGCTGGGAGTGGAACAGCTTTGCAATTTGCTTCTGAAACCGTATTTTGATCTTAATGAATATAAAATGGCTCCCATTAAAAGTAAAACCGATTATTTCAGGTCTTCTAGGGCCCATAGCTTTTTGACAGTCTTGGAGAGTTACTGTGATCTTTCATTAAGACTTCACAGCAGGTCCTCCTCACCATCAAATCAAGCCTTGCAGTACAGGAGATTGGCTACATTTAAAAGTCATTTTCCTGAAATCTACACATATTTCCCATTTGGTAATGAAAGCCATGAGAGAATTTAGACTTTTCTATACACTAACACTAATTAAGCACTCAAATTTGTCCAAATCAAACTGCTGTCAATGATTCTCATCCAAGTGACAAAATGAGATCTTATCAGAACTCTTCTCTGTTCAGACTTATTCAGTAAGCCAATGCAAAGATCATGGATCAAGTGTAAAGGACAGCAATCCATAGCAGCCAATCAGATTTTTGCTTACTTTAGTAAGCTCATTGAAGGACAATTTGCAATTGGGTATTATTTCTTACTGCACTTTGCTTTTTAGATTACCTTTTTCATACGGCTCCATTACATTAAAGTGTATGTTTCTCCAACATTTCATATTCCTGATACATATATATTGTGCCATGTACTTGTAGAAAAAGTATCCTGTTCTACTTGCATTGCTTCATTTGTGTGAAATACCTGGTGATCCTGCCAGTCCACCTGCTTTCATAGTTCAAATTGACCACACCAGGCATAAGAGCACATACATTCCAGTTCGGACAGGCTTCTACTTTGCATTTTACTTGGGAACACAGTCTGCCTGGACTCCAATGCTCAACTTTGTGCTGACATGTCCCCCTGCACAGCTCTTCACTGGGAAGATCAGTGTACTGCTGTATTTTTGCCTCCTGCTGTCACATCCCCTTGAAATATCCACTCCCAGCTCTCTAACTCACTTTTGCAGCTAAATAATCTGCCAACCCGCAGTGACCAAAAAAAAAAAATCACTGACTATGTGTACTCTCAATAGGGGGCGCTATTACAAAGCATTCAAGTCACAATGTACCAATGCTTTACTAATAAACAGATAAGATCCTGTCCAAATATACCACCATATAATCATAAGCAAATTCATATATTCAATATAGCGCAATGTCTATACAAGTGCAAAAAGCCCATATGACTGCAATCTTGAAGAAAATAATTGCTTGATGCTGATTTTCCTTCACCATAAAATCTCCAAGTGTCACCCAATGGGAAAGACAATATTTAAGTCACTCACCAAACCAATATGGCCTTGTTAATTAAAAAAAAGTCTCATGCGCTTGTCTACCCAAACAGGGCATGGAAGTATCCAGATGTAGTGGTACTCCAACCTATCTTCTCATTTTCTCCAACATCCCACACAGGAACCAAAAGGATAGGAATAGTGATATAGTGTAGTACATTTACTAAAATAAGTTAAAAGATACAAAGATATAAAGTGCTCATATTTAAATGTAGAAAAATTAAAGGAAATATGATCCTACCAGGCTTATATCTTAGAATATATATATAAATAAGGGGAGGAGATCTCAACATCTCAAACCCCAAGTATCTGAAAAAAGGAATCTCATTTGTGATTAAATATTGACAGAGATCATTGACAGCAATAGCAAACCATTATTGATTAAAATAACACATAAACACAATAACATTAATCTGATATAAAAGAAAGTTATGGGTCAGAGGTGGTAACCATGGATCCGATAAATCAAATGTTATCCATATAATATCCATATAATTCATTGGTAATTACATTCTATGAATATATAATTATTGATAGGACTGAGAGCTCTCAGAGAAGAGGGACAGATATAGAAAGCAAGGAAAGCAGAAAAAAAGAGTGCCCACTAAAAAATGCAGCTGCTATATTGATATATTGCTCTCTGGCCATTGCTCATTTTGTGTGAATATATCCTGGATAGGCCATAGAGATCCAAAATGTAATGGAGGTCAAGAAATAGACTGGTGGACATATAAATGAGCAAATAGTGATTTTACTAGATCAATCGCATTGAGCCATCCTTAATGCACGTATATGGTTGTAGAGTGTCCCGGTCAGGAAAGGAGCAGCTGATGTAATCCAGAGGAGGACAATAAGATGTGAAGACTGTCTATGGATGTAAATCCACTTTCCTGTATGTATGGACAGATACCTCCCTCATACATAAAGCCGCTTGGAGCTGGTATGCTTCCATGCAGGTGAGCATCCATAATGCAGGTGCAAAAAACTGGCACATATCTCATGAATGGTGTAGTGAACATAGCCACATTTCATTTCATAAATACAGAGTATAGTCCCTCTTGTCAAGGTGTAACAGAAAAGTATACTTATCAATCCATAGTTCATAAACACATCATAGATTTAGGTGTGACCAAAGACCCCGCCTAACCGGTTTCGCCAGACCCCCCCCCCCCCCCCCAGCTGCATCAGAGGCTATTGCGGTCAATGATCTCTGTCAATATTTAAACACAAATGACATTCCTTTTTTCAGATACTTAGGGTTTGAGATGTTGAGCAAAACCCATCTTTTATGTGTAGAGTATTTTTGAGCTCATATTTAAATGTGCCTCTACATCGGCACAAATGGATCAGAGTGGGTGTGTGTATGCTGATGCCGCCGCTCCGCACACCCTTGGAGTCGGCATGCATTCCAGCAACCAGAAATGATGTGACCAGAAGCCAGTGGCCAGATGTTCTTCCTTGAACGCATTTTCATCACTCTGACATTATTAAGGAAGAAGACACCAAAGTGTCGTTTAGTTGTATCTAGTGACTTCAACAGCTCATTATTTTAAACCAAATTAACATAACGGCATGAAAAGTACAAATAAGCAAAATGAAATAATTGATTGCAATCAGATATCATATATGTTAGATCAAATAAGTAACTCATTGCTGTTTGTTTCTTTGGGGGGTTAATAAACTTTGCTTTACCGAGCAAGCAATCATTTTTTTTTCCTCTTTTATGTATTGGATTGGAACTTTGTAATGAGTAGCTTATACTGATTATAGGTACATAATATTTTCCTTACAGTTATCTCTTTAAAACTAGTCTCTCCATCTTGGCATGATGTCTGAAATTGCAACCATTCTATAGAATGGAAAACATTTTAAAGAAATGATGCTAAATTGCATTCAAATTTTAAAACTAAATAGCTTCAGATATAATGACCCCCATATAAGCTTTCTCTCCATTCTCTTTCTACATGACCTGGCCAGTGTGAATATATTAACACAACAAAAGAAGACATTATGGTTCAGGGAGAAACTCATGCAAATTTCGTTAAACTGCAAGAGAAAAATGATTCATGCAGCTCCAGTTGTGTGAAAGGGAAAATGAATGAAAAGATGGCAAGTTCATAAGTCTTTATATCAGGTCACGAGAGATTGCACATAAAATCTGTATTGGAAGAATGATATTATATGGTGTGCATGCAGGCTCTAATTCATCAGACTGAACCAGAGAAGAAACTGGTATACTGCCCTCGTGTGGACACTAGGATAGTCATTAATCATTACAAAGCTAT